TGCTGTGAGGGCAGGTCCGGGCTGGCCGGCCCCCGCGCCCTCAGCCAGGCGCCCCGGCAGCTTCGGAGGGGTGCCGCCGCGGGAGTCACCAGATAAACCCTGGGTGCGAATTAAGGGGGAGCGGGCGCTGAGCCCCTCATAAGAGATGAGAGCCCTGAAATCATAACCTAGGGCATTTGATTTATAATGGAAAGCTTTTTTGGTGGTTCCCTCTGGATCTCTGTTTTGCTCCTTGAGAACATATAACACTCTGCTTCCCTAGCATACTTCATCACTTGACCGTATTGTGGCTATAATACATGTCAAAAACAAATGTAAGCTATAAAAACAAATCTTCACAAAATGTGAACTAATCCTCTCTAAGGCCTCAAATCAACTCTTCCTGGACTTGAAAGTTCCTCTTAATTTAATTTTTAAAAATTATTATTGATCGATTATTATGACAGTGATTGGAAGCTTCAACAAAGACCAGCACCTCAGTGTTCAGCACTGGCCAAACACTTTGGGTTACAATGTAACCCTGCCATCTATCAGACCCCATGGGTAGTGAAGAGCTGTGATCACCCAGGAGCAGAGCAAGAACTAGACTGACTCAGAAGGACCAGTTGCAAGGTTGGAATCAAGTCTCTGGCTATTGCGCTGTCCCTGCCAAATGATTTCCTCCCTGTCTGCCTGTAGGGGAGTAGCAGTTTCAAATCAGTAACCATACCTCAGAGAGACCATAGCAATGCATAAAACAAACACAGGTATAAAGTGTCTCCATTATTTTCACTCTAGAACCATGCAAGAAACTCACAGTTGACCTTATAATAAAAGACACTCAACATGCTGAAGAATATGATCTAAACAGACAAGATAGATGAGAAATACAAATGGAAACAGAGGCGGAAAGATGAAAAGTGCCTTTCATAGAATCATAGAAATTAAGGTTGGAAGGGACCTCAGGAGGTCATCTAGTCCAACCCCCTGCTCAAAGCAGGACCAGCCCCAACTAGATCATCCTAGCCAAGGCTTTGTCTAGCCGGGTCTTAAAAATCTCCAAGGATGGAGAGTCTGCCACCTCTCTGGGTAACCTGTTCCAGCATTTACTACCAGGAAAATTCTTCCTAATATCCAACCTAAACTTTCCTTGCTGCAACTTGAAACTGTTGCTCCCTGTTCTGTCATCTGTCACCACTGAGAACAGTCTACAGGCAACCTCTGCTTAACACTATTTTGCTTAGCACTATTTCACTATAACACTCATTTAGAATTGATACCTGATTTTACTTAACGCTCAACAAGTTTCGCTATAATAATTGCAGTTGCCATCTTGGGTCATTAAAAACACTTGTGGTTACCATCTTGAGTCATCAAATACTTTCAGTTTTGCTTAACACTCGTTTCGTTTAACGCTCGTCTTTTCAGGAACCAATTAAGAGTGCTAAGCGGGGGTTGCCTGTAGCTCTATCCTCTTTCGAACCCCACCTTAGGTAGTTGAAGGATGCTATTAAAACCCACCTCAGTCTTCTCTTCTCTAGACTAAATAAGCCCAGTTCCTTCAGGCTCTCCTCATAAGCCATATGTCCCAGCCCCCTCACCATTTTCATTGCCCTCTGCTGGACTCTCCAATTTGTTCACATGCTTTCTGGGGGACCCAAAACTGAACACAGTACTCTAGATGTGGCCTCACCAGTGCTGAATAGAGGGGAATAATCATTTCCCTTGATCTGCTGGCAACACACCTACAAATGGAGCCCAGTATGCTGTTGGCCTTCTTTCCCGTGATTATATAGCAGGTTCGTGACAAGCACAGGAACAACCAGGCCTCCTGACTTCCAGCCCAGTGCCCTATCCACTAACTTCTTGGTCAAAAAATTATTTTCCAGTATTGATTGTTGAGAAAAGAATTTGCAACATCCAGATACTTTGCGAAGCAAGGACACAATATATAATCCTTACCAGAGGTATAACTGGACAGTTCTGCACCCTGGGAGGCAGCAGTGCAGGGGGCAGAGGCCACAACTGGGCAGCCACTAGCAGCACAGCAACTGGGAGTGCAGTGGCAGTGGTTGCTATTTTCGTGCTGCCCTCCCTCCCCTCCCCCCACATCAGCCTCTGGTCCTGGAGCCCTGGTCTCCTCCCACCCCTGCCTGCTTACACTGCTGGTCCTTGCTTGGGCAAAACTCCCATTGGTATTTGTCAGTGGGGGCTTTTTAACACCTAACAGGCCTTACTGACTGGATCAGGACCATCAGACCAGTTCTTTGAG